TCTGAATTTAGTACAAAATAAGAGAAGGCCTAAATGTATGATCTTGTGTAATATTTAAATAAAAAATATGCTGATTCAATTAACCTCTATCGAGTAATCTGAGTTAAAGGTTTCTTTTTTATATAAAGAATGATACTTTCACCCTGATTCTAACTTTTAAGGTCAAGCTTTATAAGTGTGACACAGTAGGTCATGTACTGTATTAAAGGTTTGATCCTGTGTGACATCCAGGTTCTGTGCTTTTGGGTACAAGAACCTTGCAAAGTCATCAAAGATACGGGAACCCAGACTCTGACTTTAGGACATGCCACCTTGCATTTCATTGGATAAATGGACAGTAAGATGGATAGAAAGATGGCTAGAAGGCCGGGCCCAGCGGGTAGTGATCAATGGCTCGATGTCAGGATGGTGGTCGGTTTCTAGCAGAGTGCCCCAAGGTTCGGTTCTAGGACCAGTTTTGTTCAATATCTTTATTAATGATCTGGATGAGGGGATGGATTGCACCTTCAGCAAGTTTGCGGATGATACTAAGCAGGGGGGAGAGGTAGATACGCTTAAGGGCAGAGATAGGGTACAGAATGACTTAGACAAATTGGAGGATTGGGCCACAAGAAATCTGATGAGGTTCAACAAGGACAAGTGTAGAGTCCTGCACTTGGGACGGAAGAATCCCAAGCATAGTTACAAGCTGGGGACCAACCGGTTAAGTAGTAGTTCTGCAGAAAAGGACCTGGGGGTTACAGTGGATGAGAAGCTAGATATGAGTCAACAGTGTGCCCTTGTAGCCAAGAAGTCTAATGGCATATTGGGGTGCATTAAGAGGAGCATTGCCAGCAGATCCAGAGATGTCGTCATTCCCCTTTATTCGGCTTTGGTGAGGCTGCATCTGGAGTATTGTGTCCAGTTCTGGGGCCCCCACTACAAAAAGGATGTGGACGCATTGGAGAGGGTCCAGCGGAGGGCAACCAAAATGATTAGGGGGCTGGAGCATATGACCTACGAGGAGAGGCTAAGGACTTGGGTCTGTTTAGTCTGCAGAAGCGAAGAGTGAGGGGGTATTTGATAGCAGCCTTCAACTTCCTGAAGGGAGGTTCCAAAGAGGATGGAGAGAGGCTGTTCTCAGTAGTGACAGATGGCAGAACAAGGAGCAATGGTCTCAAGTTGTGGTGGGAGAGGTCCAGGTTGGATATTAGGAAAAACTATTTCACTAGGAGGGTGGTGAAGCACTGGAATGGGTTACCTAGGGAAGTAGTGGAGTCTCCATCCCTAGAGGTGTTTAAGTCTCGGCTTGACAAAGCCCTGGCCGGGTTGATTTAGTTGGAATTGGTCCTGCCTAGAGCAGGGGGCTGGACTTGATGACCTTCTGAGATTTCTTCCAGTTCTATGATTCTATGATTCATCATGACCATCCATTAATCCCATTTGGTTGTTCTCATAATCCTATTTTATAGTTTCTCCCTACATGAGTTCTGATTGGCTCTTTTTTCAGTTTGAGTGGTTCCCTGCACTATGCAGATTTACTCTGCAGGCAATTGACAAACACTAATCTGCTCAGTACCTACCAGTCCTTGCTTGTGGATGGCTCCGGAGACTTCAAGTAAATGTCCTTGCTTTGTTTCCTTGCATGTGTATGGAGAGCTACAACATACATAAATCCATTAGGGTTTCAATTTCCACTCTGTCTCTAAACAAATACTGAACTGCAAAAGATGTGGGTACACAAGAAGAAGACTTGGACTGTTGTTAGTTTTGTTTTTCTGGGGATAGTGGAGGATGGGAATGAAGGAGTTATGTAATAAGGCAGTAGGAGCAGAGTATGCCACAAGAAAGGAGCAATGCATGTGTCAGAGCAGGACACTGTTGGAAGAAAGAATGATGTTTTTCGGAGTGCAGACTCCAGTATTGATTTTTACACCTGGAAGCTGGGGGAGGAAAGGGGAATTGCCATGACTGAGGTGCTAAAGAATACCCTGTTCAGGAATACTTGAAAGAAATTCCTATACCTCTGGATTTAAAAAAGGAATGTGCCAAATGTAAACAGTCCAACTAAGAGATGTGAGGCCTGGTTCTTAAAATGAAATGATGTTATAGAAAATGTTTCTCAAAATCTGAACAACTTTTTTCAACTGGTTAGTAAACATACCATGGATCATCTATGATGTTTTACTATGCTTATAAGTGATAACGTAGATTATCTTAAATTTCTGTTTTGAGTGGATTATTTAGGAAGTTCAAAATGTGATTGGTATGTTTGAGGTATATGTCTATTATTTTCATTGTTACTGCTGGATTTCTGAAATTTTTGTATCCTTTAATCTAATCAATCAGTAAAGTTTTATTAAGGATTTATGAATATTAACATTTGAATAAGCTGTTTTGTATGCTGCTATAGATATGAGTTTAAGCAAATTCCAACATGATTCCATAGATTAAGACTGCTGTAAATATGATGCAACAAATTCTTCTTTTGCAACAAACATTTCATTGACAAGTTCAGTCATTGTGACCCAGCCATGCTGCATCTGGCAGAACAGACAATGCTGGAACGTTGCTGAATACAGTGTACAAAAAAGAAATTGGATAGTGTGCAAATAACGTTGATGGGGAAATGCATTCATCAGAATCTTGAAGGGTGGAGCAGTGTACACAATAATTCAATTACATGTATGTATGTGTGACAACAGAAGATGGTGTTGTCTGTTTTACAGAAACAGTTGATACACCAGGGAATACCCATATAACAGAATATTTAAAAGCAGCAGCAGTAAGAGTATAACAAACTGTACAAAAATTCACGTGCATGGCTTTGTCATGGACAATGCTGCAAAAGTAGCAAAGATGAGAAGAAATCAAGAGAATGAAAGGAACCTGGGCTACGTCTACACTGGCCCCTTTTCCGAAAGGGGCATGCTAATTTTCAACTTCAGAATAGGGAAATCCGCGGGGGATATTTAAATCCCCCGCGGATTTAAATAAACATGTCCGCCGCTTTTTTCCGGCTTTTCCCCAAGCCGGAAAAAAGCGGCGGACATGTTTATTTAAATCCGCGGGGGATATTTAAATCCCCCGCGGATTTAAATAAACATGTCCGCCGCTTTTTTCCGGCTTTTCCCCAAGCCGGAAAAAAGCGGCGGACATGTTTATTTAAATCCGCGGGGGATATTTAAATCCCCCGCGGATTTCCCTATTCTGAAGTTGAAAATTAGCATGCCCCTTTCGGAAAAGGGGCCAGTGTAGACGTAGCCCTGAAGTATAACAGAGGTGCAGCGCTAATTTGATGTTTCTTTCAGGCAGAGAGTTAAGTATAACTTCAGGAATAAAGGAAAATGTTGTATTTTGCAATTTCAACTTCCAGAACATTTTGCTTCAGCTGCACTGAAGAGAGCAGGAGGATCCAAAACTAGTTTTCTTCTAAGATGTACAGTGGAATTCATTGATTTGGTAATTTTATTATTGAACTATCTTAGTCTGATGATAATTTATGAAGATCATTGAACTATGGAAATATGTTGAAAATATGCTGAATATATTGAAATCTATTTCTATAGTTTATCTAAACTGCAAAAATATTACTGCTGTATTGCTGATGCTGTTGAAATTTGGAAAGAACTTCATGACATTGAAGAAAAAAAATACTTGAAATTCCAGGCGATAAAAGAAGTGGATGGATCAAGCACTTACTCTGTTTAATTTTCATGCCAATATTCTCAACCCAGAGTACTGTGGTAGATGACTAACTACTGAAGTGACATGGCACAAGCATCTAATAATCACCCATCAATCATACCAACCATAGTATATTTCAGCGCTGAAGGTGAACCAGTCAAGCAATATGTATGTGTTTGTTGATAAGTCGCACCACTGAACTGGTGGAATTTACTAGCTAAGAACCTGGAACCAGAGTTAGTTGAAGTGCTAAACCAGCTTTTGAGAGCGGTACCCTCCTCTGCAAGCACAGAAAGAACCTTTATTTATTTATTTATTTATTTATTTTATTGGACTAATTCAGAAAAAGTTGAGAAATTGTTGGGAAGTTGAAAACTCAGGAAAACTTGTCTTTTTCTTTGTTTATTAATAAAAATGAGAGCGAGATGAGCTTATTAATTTTAAAAGTTTGAAAGATAGCCTAAGTGAATAGGAACTTAAGCACCAGTCATTTTCACTTAGGCATATTTGGAAGTTTTTTCCAATCTGACCTGAAATAATCAATTTGCTGTCCACAGTTAATCCATCTGTTTTATAAATAATTTAGTTACTCATGTGAAACATGTTTAGATACGAGAAGTTTAAATATCTAAAATGTATAAGGTTGTTTTGTTAATAAAAATAAATTTTATATGGTATTTTGTGTGGTAATTAAATTCCATTTATGGTATTAATGCAGCTTACTGCAAATATGTACAAAAAGTTAATTATCTAATAAATAAGCAATATATCATTCATCATTTTCTAATATACAAAAATGTACAATTAATAAGCTGAAAATATTTAGCTATATAATTGTTTAAATAAATGTAGTTATAATGTGTTCTATGTAGCAAAAAGATTTACGAAGTCTAGTGTAATGGATTTATTTAGTTATAAATTAACATGCTTTAATGATTATATTAACTAAGGAGAATGTACTTTGCTTTTTATAACTGATATATGAATGGAAAGGTTGATTCAAATCAATGGTTTAAATCAAGGCTTTCCATTTGGTGATTTAAATCAGTCCACCTGGGTAACTATATGCTTAATTAGAAATTATATACCTACAGGGAACTGTAAAAATTAAAAGTGGATGAATTAGGTGCAAATTAAGTTTTAAAATTTAGTATAAAGTTTACTTGGGCCACATTTATGTGGATGGAGGTAGCTGAGTGTAAAATACAACTGGTAGTTTAAAATGCCTAGTTTTCAGTATTTTAAGGGAATCTAGTTTTTTTTATTGAAAGTTACATTTTATCAAGTTCTCCTGCAAGCTGAGTTGTATTGGTTTTTTGATTGATTTTTCTATATTTTGACACTGTCTTTCTGTCTCCCCATTCACCTACCAATGGTCTTCATTAATACATGATATTCTAATCCATGTTTTCTTTCTCTTTAACTCCTAGCCCATTCATTATGTGGAATGGATATGAGCTGAACCTGTATACTATGTTTTTCATATTATTTTAAGGATATTACTAATTTAGGGCCTGATCTTGTAATGTGCTTAAACTCAGCAACGTACAGGATAAGCACTTTAAACGGTATAGTATATTCTATTAATTTTTCTAAAGTAACATTAGCCAGATGTAGTATATAAAGATGTATTTGTATTATAAGTTTCAAAGATATTTTGGCCTTGGAAAGGGTTCAGAAAAGGGCAACTAAAATGATTAGGGGTTTGGAATGAGTCCATATGAAGAGAGGCTAAAGCGATAGGGACTTTTCAGTTTAGAAAAGAGGAGACGGGGGGGGATATGATAGCGGTATATAAAATCATGAGTGGTGCGGAGAGGGTGAATAAAGAGAAGTTACTGATTAGTTCCCATAATAGAAGAACTAGAGGACATCAAATGAAATTAATGGGTAGCAGGTTTAAAACTAATAAAATAAAGTTCTTCACACCGCGCATAGTCAACCTGTGGAACTCCTTCCCAGAGGAGTCTGTGAAGGCTAGGACTATAACAGAGTTTAAAGAGAAGCTAGATAATTTCATGGAGGTTAGGTGCATAAAAGGCTATTAGCCAGGGGATAGAAATGGTGTCCCTGGCCTCTGTTTGTCAGAGGCTGGAGATGGATAGCACGAGACAAATTGCTTGATCGTTGTCTTCGGTCCAGCCCCTCTGGGGCACCTGGTGCTGGCCACTGTCGGCAGACAGGCTACTGGGCTAGATGGACCTTTAGTCTGACCCAGTATGGCCATTCTTATCTTCTTATGTTCATTTGACAAAATATATTACAAGAGCAATGTGCAAATGGTTTGGTTTGCAGAGGTCACTAGGACCTGAAGATATAGGTGATGCTTTAGTTATGTTTAGCATGGTTCTGTTTTGTCATAAGGTATTCAGAAATCAAAAGAGGAATTCTGCTTCAGATTTCTAACTGCACAGATTATGAAATCATCATACCGTAATTGATATATATTTTTGAAGTTTCTCCTATCTTTTTCATAGGAATCTTGGTAAATTTCTATGAAGTATCATTTTTTGGTAATCAACTTGAATTTATTTGATCTTCGGTAATTTTTCTCAGTCTTGGAACTTACACCATATAAACATTTTGCTGTTTTTCTTCACTATAGTAAGCTACCTAAATTCATTTTTAAATGTGTTAGAGTGTATTGTCATGCCGTGTAGCAAAATTAAATATCACTTGTATTATCTTCACTAATCAAAGTTTAGTTATTACAATGATCTTTGGTTGTTATATCAAATCTTTATACGAGTAGATTGGAGGTGTTAACACTTTAATTGACGCTACATATACACCTCCCCCCAATTATAAATATATTTTGTCTTAAATTTTGTGAGATGGTAGGATGTGGAACTCTTGCTCCAATAATCTGATCAGTAAGTAATGCTCAAAATAATTTTTAGCTCGTCATTTTGTTTGTGGTCTCAGTTCTGGACTTTGTTTCTGTGATATAAATCTTTCTACGCCAATCAGTAGATCGTGATTGACAGGTCATTTATGGCGTCTCTAACGGTCGATCTCAGTCTTAGTCAATGTTCCCTCTAAGGTGTGCACCTGTGCTGTGTGCACAAAAAAAATAAGCCTGCTCACCTCTTTCGCAGCAGCACTCACCTTCCTGCTGGACCTCTAAGGTGAGTGTGTGGCTGCTCTCACAGCCGGGGCATGTGGCAGGTGGGGATTGGGATGTGACACGCCTGGGACCACATTTGGGGACCGCTGCTCTGGTGGCCGTGGCTGCTCCGGCTGCTGCTGAGGCTGCGTTGCGGGCAGGTTTCTGCTGTTGGGGTTTGCGGCCACATGGTGGGTGGGTAGGCTGCTGCCACCAGGGGTTGGGGTCATGGGCGGGTGGGATGCTGCCGCCGGGGGCTGGGGTAGCGGCCGCGTGAAGTATTTGCTGCTACACCTATTCTGTACTGGCGAGGGCAACCCTGACTCCCCAGTGCTCCCGCTGGCTCCCGGGCTTCCCTTGACTCCTATCAGCACAAACACTGCTTCTACCACCATTGCTGGAGATGCACCACCTCCTCCTCCTCCACACCATTAGTTTAACTGGTGCAACTTAGATGTGTAGTCAAGTCTTGCCTATAATACAATACCTGGTACAAGAGAGCTCTGATTCTGGTCAGTCTTTAGGCACTACAGGTTGAACCTCCCTAGTCTGCCATTCTCTGGTCAGGCAACATCCGTGGTCTGGCACGATTTTAGGTAGACTCAGCACAAGGGTGGTCAAGTTGCCCGTGGTCCCATAAAATTTGTTTATAGCCAGCAATCCTGGCCCTCATTGTTCTGTGTTATTTAGCTCTAATTTACCCCTAAAAGTCCTCTAAGAGCCTAGTAAGCAGTGGAAGTGTTGGTTATGCTGCTAGACAATACTGACCTCCCGTGGTTCAGCAAATTCTCTGGTTTGGCACCAGTTAAGTCTCGAGGGTGCCGAACTAGAGAGTTTCAACTGCACTATAATACAAATTAATAACAACAATACAAGTGTCCAGGTATGCACCCACTGGGCCGTATTCATCCTTAGTGTAACCCCATAGTATTAGAAAATTGTTCTCTTAGGCTATGTCTACACTGCGCTGGTTTTGCACAAGAAATATGCAAATGAGGCTAAGTGTGGAATATTACTGAGCCTCATTTGCATAATTAATGAGCGGCCGCTTTTTGTGCAAAAGGCTTTTGCGCAAAAAGGAGCCATCTACACAGCTCCTTCTTACACAAAACCCCCCTCTTGCACAAGAGCTATTCTTCTGTTTTTTTTTTTCTTCCAGGAAGAACGCTTCTTGTGCAAAACCCCCCTCTTGTGCAAGAGCCCTGGAGAAGAGTGGGGTCAGCAGGCACAAATAGTAGGGATTTGGCTTGGGACGGAGGCTGGACTTGGTTACTCTCTTTTGCCTCTGATGTCATTAGTACACATAGGTGAACTTTTGGGACATACTTATTCTATATTAATGCAGAAGGAAAACATACTCATTTCCTTAGATTTAATTAATTTCATATGGAATTTTTAATGAAAATATTAGGAAAATTGTGTTTTCTTAGGAATGTCATTCCTCCAATAGCTAGTTAAATTCTTTTATACATGTTGATGAAAGTCGGTTGAACCTTCATAGATTGTGAACATGTTAAGGTAAATTAATGTAATAAAAGTATAACTAACCTTTTTAAACACAGTGGAATTTGTTTTGCATTTGTACTTGCTTACTGTAACAGATTTGCCTTTTCCATTAATCTTTCTTTTACCATCTCAAAATATGCAGTATATTAGCTTGGTTGGTTGGTTGAGCTGAAAAACTTTTTTTGTTGTCTTGTAAAACATAGTAGTATTTTTATTTGGCTCAATGCTAATATTTGAAGATTGGCATTTGTTGCATTATCTCGTCAATCCCTTCATGTGAAAGAGACCTTTTAAATTTTATAGATCATCTAATCAGAAAACAGGAGAGCAGTACTACAAGTAAGCCTGCAACTGAACATCCAGAAAGCCTAAATGTGGGCACCTGACAGACTATCCAAATCCCCTGTGTAATGCCTATTACAGTTGCCAACAAAAAGATTAGTTCAAACTCAATCAATCAGTAAGCTAATACAGTATATATGTTGAGAGGGAAATCACTTGCAAGTGAATAAAAAACCAAATTCTACTACATTTTAAAAGGTTAGTTTGACTTTTGTGCCATTGCTTTATGGCATGTTTAGAAGCGATGAAGATTCAAATGATTTTTGGCAACATCTGTCACTAGAATTTAACCAGATATCTCAGGAATGATATTCCTTAGAGGACATAATTTTCCTAATATCATTTTATTTAACAGTGCCATATTCATTTCCTTTTACTTAGTTCATTTAATGTCTTTTCTTTCTGCATTAATAGGCTTTAGGGGCAAACTGATTTCATATCTCTTTTGAAGTATAAAGGGAGGAAAGCAAAGTTGAGTGTAGCTCAGTCCTCAGAGCTACTTTAATTTATACTGGCTTGTAATGGCATATGGACTATTACACTGGCAGAGAGCACTGGAACTCAGTGAACAATGACCAGGCCCATTAAATCTCCAATACTTTCCTATAAAGGTTGTGTGTGTGGTGTTGAGCTCGATATGCTGGTTTTATGCCATTTGGAAATTCCTGCATGTCAGGACAATCTCCAGCTATCCATAAGGACTTTTATAGTTTTGGGCCTTCAAAGAGGATGCTGTATACAGCAGGATCTGGCCCATCATTTATCTAGTACGTAAAGATTTATACCATTTTGTTAGTTTGGGGAATTTTTAATGTGTCAACATAGCAATTCTAACATTTGTATAAAAAACGTGAGTTTTTTGGTGGAACTACTGAATTAAATATGAATGCATTTAATGGTTTTTCATAACATCAGTAAAAATGCATAAACAGTTCTGGGAATTTGCTGAATCATATAAAATGTAAAATTTTATAATAGAATTATTGGATGAAGTCCGTGAATACATCTGATAGATTTTTTTTTTTTTGGAATGTGAGCAATGATTAAAAAAATCCTGTTGACTATGTGACAGGTCTGAAAAATTAACACACTGTATCACCATACAGTAACTTCACAACCATGTCCCAAATGTAGTTTCAAGTTTATTATATATAGGTAAATAAGAAGGAACATTCCCACAGGAGGGACAATTCGGAGGTCTGACTAATACCAAGTCGATAGACTCTGTGTATTGTATTTCTCAAGTTTCAATTTTCCTTTCCAGCTCATCAGAAGAGGAAAGTGTGTATCTCTTGTTTTTAAAGAATGACCCTCAGTGCGTTTTTGATCCATTGATTTCTGTATGTTTATTACATTTTTATTATAGTTTGACCAAGCATGGTGAAATGACTTTGTATTTTTCTGTGGCTCCTTATTTTTAGTTCTTGAAAGAGATGATTTCTGACATTCTTGAGTGGTTGCAATGTCTCTTTAGATTATGCATGCAATATTTTCCTTTGAAAATAGTGATGGGAGTAGAAATCTGCATGTCATGTATCCTCTCCCTTTTACATTTTTATATGTTTTTTTTAACTTTTGGCATTTGTACCTAACTGTTAAATAATTATTATCAGA